CTTCCTTCCTTCCTTCCTTCTTTCATGCGTTCATTTGTTCGTTCGTTCATTTGTTAGTCCTTTCGTTCGTTAATTCATTCATTCATTCTCTAGTGCCAAAGAGAAAATCTGAAGAAACACCTTAAAACCGACGCCCAAGAACATCTATCACTAGTATTTGGACACACGACAGAATTTCAAAAAGATGCGAAACGACGCTTGCACCTTATTGAACAATTTCAAAAAGAGGCGAAACGACGCTTGCACTCTATTGAACAAGACTCTAGAAACCTAAAGGAGGAACTCCAAAAAATAAATCGAAATTTAGAAAAAAAGAGGAGGAAATACGATATTTTGACTTCTGATTTACAAGATACCGAAAAGCAGACACAGCTGCTGATTGAAAATACCATAAAAATTAAGTCAGGTGTTAAACACGAAAGGAAACAGGTCTGGCGGTTTTTGGTATCCATAGTGATTGGGATGATAGCAATTCTCGCCTTTACATCGCGTCAAATTGCAGGAACTTGGCAAGAGTCTATCGTGCTTAAAGATGAAATAACACATTTGAAGGGGAAACTAGGAAGCAAAGTTATTTGGATAGTAAATGAGGAAGGGCCTTCTGTAAAAGATTTTTATACAGACAAGTACGGTTACAAACTGCGGGTATCGGCTAATCTACTACCAAGAATAAGTATACTTCAAGAGGAAAACTTGTTTTTATTTTCTGTGACTCTACTTCGTGGGGATTATGATGCCATGTTGACGTGGCCCTTTAGCAAGAGAATTAAAGTCACGCTCTTGGACCAGAATGAAAATCCCAGTGACAGAAAAAATGTTGAAGTGGTGATTGAACCAAATGAATATCAAACATCCGAAAACTTAAAGAGACCAACTGCTTCTTCAAGTAACTACTTCGTTTCCAAAAGGATCGTCTTGGAGGAACAGCTTAATGCAAGAAATTACTTTTTTGAAGGTTCCTTATTTCTTTTGATAGAGACTGAGAATGAAGTGATCTAGTATTGCAGTGACATTAGACATCCAGGCACTCAGGAACAGTTATGTAGTGAGGAGCCTTGAATCAAAACACGAAACTTATGGCGGCGTCCACTACACTTGATGTTGGAAGGAGGTGCATGGTTTGTCAAATAGATTGGTGTTATTGGATGATGAGAAAAACGCATAAGACTAGGAGAAAAACCGTTGCAGCAGTTTCCACTGATTATGAATTATACATGTTCCAAAAACCCAGAATACCTGTATGTCAGTATTGAGGGTACTACGAGAATTAAAAGGTATTTTCTCTTAAATTTTTACAGGACGGTAAAGAAAACCAGTTGTTATAATCAATTTACCTGACCTCAATCTGCTTTTTTATTTTTTTCGCTTCGGTTACATAGCAAATGAGGTAACTAGAGAAGTCGGGAGCCGGCGGAGCCAGGCTACCAACCCCTCCCCTACTTTTTCCCGGAGCCGGCGAAGCCAGGCCCCACTCCTCCCCCACGATTGTTACTGACTACAAAAATGAATTCAGGAACGAATGAGTTATGTTCTCGTTTCTAAAATCCTTGCGGTTCTACGCCATCCGGAGCCCGGAGCCGGCGGAGCCAGGCTACCCCTCCTCCCTCCCCCCCCCGACAATTTCCGGAGCCGGCGGAGCGTGGGTCTCAGGCCCCTTCTGGTCATCCCACGCGAACGCATATTGGCTAAGGAGCCCAGCTTATTGTCGGAGTCTTATAACTTAAGACACCATTTGGACAACCAAACTTGTAAAACGGCAGATGTTGAATATGATGAGCACCAAAGTATTGGTGAGGAAACTGAGGACGACGGTGAATCGAAAGTTAGTGATTCTGAAGAGGACGATGATAAGTCAGTAAAGCACAGTTGGTCGGCTCTCGTACGGGAAGCTACAGATCGTCATCAGGAAGAGTTCGAGGGTCAAATGGAAAACTACCTGCATGAAGGAGAAAGCGAAGAAAGTGCTGCAGTCAAAGCGCATAACAGTATGTTACCAGTCTATAGAAAGGAGCTGAGGGTAGTAAAGGGTAGTGAACTAGCAAAGAAAAAATAAAAGTTTCTTTTGGCAATGAAACTTTATTAAATGTAGTTAAATAGTTATAGAGATGTCTTCTTGTTCTGCTCATTTTACTCATGCGCTGCTCACAGGGGCACTAGGGGCACCAGGGGCACTTTAAAAAAACCGTCATCATTGAAAAGAATCAAGGGGCATTAGAGGAACTTTTATTTCCCGCTGTTTAAACAAAGAACATTTGACAGAGGGGATTAACCTTGTCAACTCAAGAAAGGTGATGCAATCAAAACCTTGTTCTGAAAGTAGTTCACAGCCTCATTAATTCAAAATACTTTTTTTTTTCTTCAAATCTTACTTGAACAAGGGGTCTTATCATGTTAATACCATGATCACCTCGGGATCCATTGTTTTTGGAGGGACGTTTAATCACTAACATCCCTACCTCATGAATGACATGAAAGAAATTTAGAAACTAAATATCCCTCATCCATATGAATTATTCATGAGAGGTTGTCCCTCATGTAACGTAATCATCGGTACACCGAGTCTAAAATGACCCGGTTCGAAATCTGATGCATTTTTAATGAGGATGTATACCACCCTGCCACAGGCTTTATTCAATGTGGGATAGAGAAATTGGTCTTAGAGTCGGATTCTACACGCTAGGACAAACTTTGCGCATGGGTCATAATGGACTAAAATTACCTACTTGTTACAATCTAATGTTTTACACAAATGTTAATTTCTCGGTGCAAGGGCAGCCTTCACGTATGCGCAAAGCCATTTTGAAACAAAAAGCAAGTTAACGTTTATTCAACCACTTTATTGATTTTACACACGTCTTATTTAAAACTGATTGTAATAATAAATGTTTAATTTTAGTACTCCATGCAGTGTGTCTTTTAGTGTTCTCTGGAACTGTAGTTTCTCTAACGCTCTCGACTTCAGCGTCTTTTAAAAAGCTAAAACGACCTTCCGCCATTCTGGTCAAGTTGTAGTAAAGCAAAAATTTATTCCTTAATTTATATGTTTTCTGTGTTGACAAAAAGACATTCCAATGAGAGTTCTTAAAAAAAAATTATTATGTCATTGAAGTAGTTTTAAGAAAACATTTTAAGTTTTAATTAGCATTTTGCTAACCAAACACTCTCTTACTTGTGCTTCCAAGAGTAATCATTCAGTCAAAGTTCTTTAAACAATGAATTTTGATTTAGTAGGCTAGAATTAAGTAGGCCTTAGTATGCTACCAATTTGCCAAATATTTTGCCAATGTTTACACGGATAAAACAAAAACATGAGGTACAAAGTTTTATATCTCCCTTGAGACGATAAATCAGATAGATGGATTAGACAGTTTGATAGCAACTTATTAGTATTCAAGTTCACTAAGTTTTTGACGATTTGTTTTCTTTAATTTCCTCGGAAGTCATGGTATTACAAACTAATACCATGGCAATTTCGGGATATTAGTGATTAAATGTCCCCTCTGCCTCGGGAGGTTTAGTAAAAGTCCCTCGGCCTACGGCCTCGGGCCTTCCACTATACCTCCCTCGGCTTTGGGGACATTTAATCACTAATATCCCTCATTGCCATGGTATTACTTATAAGTATTTATACATTTCTAACAATTCCCTGGTTGGGGTTTTTGTCACTCTGAAGAGGGGAAAAATAAGTAAATAAAAAAGTCGGCCTATTCTTAATTCTTGTAGAGTTAACTGATGCGTTTTATCGCTACTACGTGCACCGCCGTATCGTTGTAAAAGATAAAATGCAATAAATTGCAATAAACACTCAACAGTAGATCAACCCCATGCGAACTGAATGAAATTATGAATTTATATATTTCCAAAACAATATATAGCGGTCGATACAAAATGGCGATTACACAAGGATTTTTAGAAAAGAAGCCCCCTCTCATTTGTTCCTAAATTCATTCTTAAGCAATCGGTAACAATCGTAGGGGAGGAGTGGGGTGGTCTCGAGCGTGGCTCCTCCAGCTCCGGAAAATCGTGGGGGGGTGGTAGCCTGGCTCAGCCGGCTCAGGGCTCAGGATGGCGCAGAATCGCTAAAAATGGTTATTCAACAAGAATCTTAGAAAAGAAGCCCCCTCTCATTTGTTCCTAAATTCATTCTTAAGCAATCGGTAACAATCGTGGGGGAGGAGTGGGGTGGCCTGGGACCTGGCTTCAACGGCTCCGGAAAATTGTGGGGGTGGGGTGGTAGCCTGACTTCGCCGGCTCCGGGCTCCGGATGGCGCAGAACGGGAAGGGGACTGGGATCGAAAACTCCGACAATAGCTGGGCTCTTTAGCCAATATGCGTTCGCGTGGGATGACCCGGCAGAAGGGCCCTGAGACCCACGCTCCGCCGGCTCCGGAAATTGTTGGGGGGGGGGGGGGG